ATAAGCATGTAATAGACATGGCTAATAATCCTATTACAAGCCATACAGTTTTAAGAGCAGATACTTCTCAGTTGCTTACTCCAAATCCAAATGTTGTTGGACCAAAATCTACAAGACCTCTACTGCCTTCTCAAAGTATGGGCCTCTAATATTTTTACTTTCTCTTAACGTTTTTCTTTTAAAGTGAAAAACCAAATTCCATTTTGGCATTCTGTGACGGTTTTACCTGACTCGCTTCTATCAAAAGAGCAGTAGAACTCATTTATTTTTGCATATTATTTTAGAGCCTGGTTTGCTTGGAGCCCCTGTCAGACGAGATCTCTCTTCTGATTGTGATTATGACATGAAGAGAGGACTCCTTGCTACGAAACCTGGTGTTGATCTTCGGGCTCCGAACTTTGGTGAACCCCCTATACTCCCCAGAATGCCCGTACAACTATCAGCATCCGGATTACAGGTGCAAGGAAGTTCATTCGTGGATGATGACTCTAGTAAAGGACATCACAAAAGTCGATCTTCAGGATTTATTCAAGAATCCGAAGCTTCAAAAGCTGATAAACATCGGTCTCATCAGATCCCATTCAGCAATAATCCACAAGGTTTTCCTCTACCAGTTTATATTCCAGGATCTCGACTTATTTAATTTTTATCGTCTTACTTGACTGAAGCTTTGGCAGGAATTGCTATATCTCAAAATCAAGCATCTAGCAATAACAAAGAATCTCAACAACCTGAAGCAGAGAAAGTTACTATACCTCCGCCCTCTTTATACATCGGAGTTCTACAAGAAATTGGTCGTAGATGCGGCTCAAAGGTACAGGGTGTCGGTTTTTTAAACGGTTTTTGCTTCTCACCTTGTTTTTTCTCACTTTGCCTCATTGTGTAGGTTGAGTTCAAAACTGTTGTCAATACCAGCAAGGATTTGCAATTTTCAGTTGAGGTTGGTGAAAAAGTGCTCGTTATAGAAAATTTTCAACTGTACATGAACAAAATTGAATATATTTTTTATATTTAAGTTGCTTTTTGCTACATTTAGCGTTAAAAGTAAACAAATAATATTTTTCTGCATCAGAAAAGGAAAATCTTTGTGGATTGTTGATTTTCTAGGGATTGTGGAAATAAATTGTGTTAGAATATTGCAAATTTCATGTTTCTGAATGTTCGGTTCAGGTTTTGTTTATTGGCGAGAAAATTGGTGTTGGATTGGGTAAGACGAGGAAAGATGCTCGACAACAAGCTGCGGAGAATGCACTTCACAATTTAGCAGGTACAAATGCATTCTTTTTATTCCTTTAACATATTGCTCCATGGTTACGAAAACTCGTATATTTTGTACCTTCATGGAATTTCAGATAAGTATGCTGCACATATGAAGCCTCTTTTGAGACCCGGAGTAGACGTAGATCTCGACAAGCTTTCGATTGGAGGCGAAAATGGATTCTTATGGGACAATGTAGCTCCAGAAGTTAAGAAAGAAAGCAAGTGGGAGGTGTGAATTAGCAGTAATCCATTTGGATAGAGATAGATGATTTGATTTTTGTGGTTCAAAAACATAGGTGGATGCTTGGATAAAGGGTATGAAGGAAAGTAATTTCCAGATGGGGGTGTTACTCTGCTCACAACCTCCTCCTCCTCCTCCTCCTCCTCCTCCTCCTCC